AGGTTGATAACAACTGCTTGAGAGCTACCAGTCTCCAAACTCCGTCGTCGACCAGATGCGGCAGATGTGCTTGAGGTTCCCTCCACAGCTGTCTGCTGCTGCTGCTGTTGCTGCTGTCTTCGATCGCAGCTCTTCTTGTGCAGCTGACCCCTTGTCTCCACACATCGAGAGCAGCAGTGAACATGCGTGCCGCTTGCGACTCTCAAACACCCAGCCGTATAGCAGATAGTGTCTCCAGCACGAAGCTCCGCCATAACACGACGTTCACACTTGTGACTGTGGATCCCTGTTCCACAGCCACTGCAGCATCGCCTGTGCGTGCCAGTGCACATGCGATGGCACCCTGGCGTCTGACAGCGCGGCCCATTCAGCGCCATCAGACCTGAGCACAGAAGATTGCAAGCTGCAGGCTACAGCCGCTGCACAGGCAGAGATGCGCTCAGCGAGAGTGCAACCGGCAACATTTCACGCAGCGGCAGACGATTGCTTGTAAGCTCTGCAGTACCTGTACAAGGATTCCATATGCCACTGGGCGCGGATGCGAGCAGACAAACGCCTTATGGGCGAGGTATCAGCTCTCGGCCTAATGACAGAGGAAACTACCGACTAGCGAACAATGCAGGGGAGGCAGTCATGATGCAAAGAGGGAGGCCGGGCACATTGGGGCCTAGTAGGTAACAAAAACCCTAGCTCAAGCAGGAGCTCCCACGTCCACTGAGGCAAACGTTCAGCCTTCTTGACCGTGAAAGCAACAAGCGTAACACGGTCAAAGGTCTGCCAAGGACATGTCATGTGCAGCAAGCGAAAAGCTTCAAACCGAATGGCATGCGAGTGGAGCGAGTACTTGCAGCCCCTGACCATCACACCGCCATGCTCAACAAAGTCAGAGCCTTCACCTTCAATCCAAAGCTCCCCACCATCATGTACAGAGAGTGACAAAACAAGATTAGGAGCAGCTTCATTCTGGATGTCGATATGCGGGGGCGTTGCATAGTTGAACAGAAGTGTGGTGGTAGTCCAGGAATGCTCGCTACAAACGCGACTCACCAAACGGTTGAGAAGGCGCGCCACGTTCTTATGTGTCATGGTAGCTTTGCATAAGCCCTGATGGGCACCGTTGCAAAAGGCACCAATAGAAAAACTCGCGGCTTCCTCCGACAACTGAAAGCTTACGTGGCGGGGCTTCTCCTTGCGCAAAATCATGACAACCTGCCTAACAGAGCTCCAGAGGGGCGCTGTACCATCCTCCAAAAATCGCCTTGCCAATATCCTGCCACAATCAGAGCCAAACACCGGCTCGGGCAGCAAGGTATGGATCTGCGCCGAAACCGTCCTGCTGAGTGCCTCTGCGTACGCAAACAAAGTGATTTGTGACTCAGCTGTCAGGGCCTGCTGTGCCGCCAAAAGCACATCGTTACGAGACATCATGCCAAGGGCGTGAGGCAGGTTACAGTCGACTCTGCAGAGTACAGTTGCTGGAGGCATTGAAGCAGCAGGTAGGTTTCTAGAGCATCCTGATAAAGCTCATCCGGCAGCGGAATCTCCGCCACGGCCATATTAGCAAGCTGGAGCAAAAACAGCATGCAAAACAGCAATGGGCATCCTGCTCCGGTTGCAACACACGGAAAAAGCTTCAAGCTGAGGATAATGATGCACGCAGTCCGAGGCCCCTGCTGGTGGAGAACCAAAATCTAAAACAGCTAAGCAAACCCTGGAGAGAAAGAGCAGCTGGCTGCAGAATGTTTGACATGTATGCAGCTCATGCGAGCGAGACGGCTTGTGTGCAGCCACAGCAAGATACACGCAGCTGAAAATAATTTGTCAGCATCGAACACGCTTCGGCGAGATGCTCTGTGCGACGCGGTGCGGACGAGAAAGACTATGGTGGCAGACGTCTCGCCCGCAGCGGCTGGCATGCTGTTATTCGCGAAGGAGCCCAACAAGGTAGCAGTTGTTATCTAGGACACGCTGATCCCTGAGATTGGCAGCCTTTGGCAGTCTGCGGTCATTACACACCTGATAACTCCAAGAAAACCCAAAGTCCTGCACGGTAGGTACGCAAAGGGCAGCTTGGTAGTGTCCACTGTGTATCGTGGGGCCAACATGAAATACAACATAAACCACCTTGTATGTCTCCTTCTGCACCCTGACACAAGTGCCGTCACCTGTGCAAAAATGCGGTAGCTCCACTGTGGAATTGGGCGGGATATGGAGAGGCTGCGTGTCTTTGGTGCCATCATTACGGTATCTACTAATGAGCAAGCACATAGCTCCCGCCGCTCCAGCAATCCCGTGGATGGCTTCTTGGCAGTGCCAAGCATCAATCGCACTTTGAAGGTTGGGGCCAGGCTGCAGGATAAGGGGACTACCTAGGGTACCCTGATCAACCCTACCAGTGGCATCAGGACTTCTGGCTTCCCAAGAACCTTCAAAAGCAACCGGGCAGCTCACACTCAGAAGGTGCTGCCAAAACTCACCTGCATCATGCTGACGAAAAACATGTCTCCAGTTGCGGAAAGCAGGTCGAAGGATCATGCAACTGGGAAGGTGCAAGGACCCTGCACGATGCACAAGATTGAGGCCTGCTTCGAAGCTGCCTCCAATCCGGCCCACAGTGCCAGCAAGCTGGCCAATCCAGCACCATGCCTGAAAACACGCGTTAGCGTAACAGAGGTTCTGTCCTGGAGGGTTTGCAAGACGAGCTTGAGGCACGATAAGGCCCGGGCGAACCCGAAGCCGAGCTTCCCTTAGCTCGGCGTCATCGTCACGCCGACCTAGGCGGACGAGCGGGCTCGCCAGCTCGTGGTCTTCTTCCAGTCGCAGTACTCGGTCTCCTGAAACTTCTGCTCCAGGAGCTTTGCCAGTGGCTGGCACGCTCCCCGTTCCGGGCGTACTCGGAAGCCGAGCAGCTTGCAGCAAGCATTGCCAGATAGGCGAGTGAAGATATCGTGGAGCTCGTCCGCCGCCTGGGTACGGAGGCTGATCGTGAGGACAAACGGAGCCACTTCCGCTGACTCCAGCTCCTCGTAGGGCTTGGCACTCTTGAAGCATTGAAGAACGCCCTCCTTGTGCACATGGCTCTCCATCTCCATGGTATCCAGCATGCGCAGGATCTCGCTGTTGGAGAGGGGCTCCTTCTCCAGGACGATCTGCTTCTTGGCCTTGCTGTCCCAGCCGTGGAAGACCCAGTGAGGGTTCAGCGCCATGGCACCGTCGCGGGCCCAGCCCGCTTCCTTGCAGCGGGTGTACTTGTCCTCGTCGACGCGGACTCCTTCGAGGGCTCGCTTGAGCTCCTGAACCAGCCCCATCATCAACATCGCCCGCAGCGGCATGGTCACTTGACCCTGGGAGTAGAGCTCGGACCACTTGGCTCCCGCATCTTTGAGCAGCTGCAGGCATGAGTGGCTGCCAGTATCTATAAAGAGGACAAAACTTGTATCTGCCCTCAGTCGTGCAAGTTCGTTTTCGTGCCGGAGGAGAAGCCGAGTTGCCACCTGTAGCAACTCCTGAGTGGCCTTGTCGGGGCAAGAGGTGCCCGTCGGCTGTGCTGGCTCCCACTGCCGCTTCTGGCGATTGCCGCCCCAGCCGCTCCAGTTGCTCTGCTGGAAGCCTTTTCCGCCGCCCTCCTGCTTGGGCCACTTGGGAGGTCTGTCCTCCTCGGTCTCCTTCTCCTTCTCCGCCGCGGCCAGGGGGCGTCCGAAAACAAGGTCCACCTCGTTCCTCGCCACCGCTGCACGCTGATCCACCTCCATCTGCTCCTCGCCGGCCATCCTCGGACAAAAGAGCTTCTAGGGCAAGAGCTGCCTGAAAGATAGGCGTGCAACTAAGCAGATGCTTTCGAGCGTCCTTGCAGTCCTTATCGCAGTAGAGGCAGGGGTTGGCAGCTTGAAAGCCCAGGCTGCGAACCCTTGCTTGTGCAGACTCTGCGTGACACCAGTGCTCTGGATGCATCAAACGAGCATGCTGCTTGAAACCTGGCCCAATCAACGAGATCCACTGACTACAGAAGACACAGTATGTGCGTAAGGTTTGACATGTTTCTGAGTTTCGCACGACACTTCTCCAGTCGGCGCGCAGAGAGGTAAGAAACGTCGTCTGCCCAAACAATGCACTCGTGACTGCTCCACTGGAGACTGCCGGGGGAGTCTGGGACCTAGACGACTCCCCAGGCTCAGGAGCTACCTGCACTCCTGAGACATTGGCAGTCTCCACCTGAGTGGGCTTTTCAATAGATGACTGGTGGGGGCAGCC